GGCCCGCTGTTGCTCCATAAATGACATGCCTGAAGCTGTACATTCCTCCATACAAATGTTTGCTGATGACGCTAAGTTATTTCGGGAAATTAAGAACCAAGCAGACTGTGAAGAGCTGCAGAAGGAGCTCTGTGTGCTTCAAGAATGGTCGAAGAAATGGCTGCTAACATTCAATGTCACGAAGTGTAAGAGGCTGCACCTGGGACGTACCAACAGTAAGCAGGCGTATAATATGTCCCAACGGGACGGAGAAACTGCATTAATTGAGAATGAATGTGAGAAGGACCTGGGTGTGTATGTTGACAATGAGCTGAAGTTCTCGGGCGATTGTGAGAAGAAGGAAAATTAAACAACTAAATTATTAGGTCTTATAAGAAGGTTGTTCAGATATCTTCAAGAGTGAGGTACTTTCCCGTCTTGAGTACTGGTCCCCGAGATATGCTAGGGACTGTCAGTTGATTGAAAATGTCCAAAGGAGGGCCACCAGGCTGGTGCCAGCACTTAGACACCTCAGCTACCCTGAGAGATTAGAGCGCCTGCAAATACCCAGCTTATACTACAGAACCTAATTGAGGTGTTTCAACATCTCAAAGAGCACTACTCAGTCGAGTGTCCTTAGCTGGAGCTGGCGGACGCTTGCCCCACAAGGGGTCACAGATCAAAGTTGAAGAAGCAGCAAGTCCAGCAACCTATAACGGGTAACTTTTTTGGAGTGATAGTTGTAAACAATCTGCCAGAGAGTGTTGTGACAGCACTGAGTGTGAGCTCTATCAAGACCAGACTTGACAAGCCGTGGAGCAGGTTCAGATACATCATGAGCCAGTGCATGCCAAGAATCAGAGACGTGACCGATCGCCCAAGCGGCTAAAATTCTCGAGTTTCAGTTGTTGACAACAAATGCAATTTTGTCGGCGTGACACAACATTATCAAGCTGGCATTAAGAAATGTGATAACAGAATGATTAAGGGTCCACACTGATAACACAACCTTGAACTTCACCAGAATTTTTAGGTATAGTACAGTACTATCTAATGTCACTAGAATCCAAGAAGGATCACAAGTTATACTTTTACTTTTTATTTTTATCCTTTTCACCACTGATTGTTTTGGGGAGACGTGAAGTGAGTGCTTGGCTCTGACGAGCCGATGATCAGTGTCGCAGTGGTCTGAGCCACTCATGGCACGGATGATGAGGACATCTAGGTGATCTCTTTCTCTGACAATAATGTTGTCAATGAGATGCCAGTATTTGGATCGTAGGTGTTGCCACGAACCCTTGAACTTGTCGGCCTGCCTAAACAAAGTATTGGAGATGGTGAGGTTGTGTGCAGCACACTTGTTGAGGAGGAGTAGGCCATTGGGATGACAGTTGCCTAGTCCATTTCTCCCTATGGTTCCCTGCCAAATGTTTTCATCTCTGCCAATTCCGGCATTGAAGTTACCAAGGAGCATAACCTTATCTTCTCTGGGGATAGAGGTTAGCACTCTGTCGAGGTCGGCATAAAAGGCCTCCTTGATGTCATCATCTGCATCCAATGTTGGGGCATATGCACTGATGAAAAAGGCATGACGTGAGTGATTCAGTGGGACTCAGAGTGTCATGAGGCGCTCGTTGATCCCAACAGGCATTTCAGTTAGCCTATGTAGGTTGCATTGGCGGATGGCAAAGCCAAATCCATAAATGCGGTTTCTCTCTGCAGCAGGCTTACATTTCCAGAAGTAGGTATAGCCAGAACCCGTTCTGTGAGTCGACCCTCGTCTGGGAGCCGAAACTCACTAATGGCTGCTAAGTCGATGTTATACCTAGCCAGCTCTTTTGCCACAAGGGTGGATCTTCTTTCAGGATGCTCATTTGTGCCAGTATCCAGAAGGGTCCTGACATTCCATGCAGCGACCATAAGAGGGTACATAATTTGTTTTTCTTTTGATCTGTGATTATGATTGTGTTTTCGACAGCACAAGGATGACCTTAATGGGTGTGGTTGCCCAGTCAGGTTGGTTTTTTAGGAAGGCTATGTTTAGGGCACCTTTTCTAGCCCCCTCTCCATGTGGGGTGAGCAGAGTGGCTCCTCGAAAGGGCTGCTCAGTCGCACAGACAGAACTAGATTGCACTATTGTCTAGATCCCAGTGCATAAACGACCATCTTATCTGTGCCGCCCATGTGCAGTGTTGTGACTAGAGACTCCCGGCAGTCATCTCTGCCTGTCCCCGTCGCCACTCGTCAGTCACCATAGGACTTTTGGAGGTATAGGGGTTTTGATGATGATGAGGAGTATGATGAGCTGGATGATGACTGTGCATGAGTTGATTTATTGGTGAGGCAGGAGCACAGGCTGCAACCACACATCTTGGCTCTCCCTTTTCCTGATCCAGTGGTGCAAGTGTTGCAACGACTGGGGAGAAGGGGAACTGCAATGGACTGCCGATAGCCCAGTTTGTTGGGTTTCACCTTAGTAACCTGTCTATCACGCATTGCCTTCATCCACCGGTGTAGTCGTTGGGTTTCCATGGTGGTCACCTCTTCCGTTTATACCGCCGTTGGGGTCTTGTTGGAGCTCTTTAAGCATGTCTGCCTGATGTGGGGCTTCACTACAGATTTTTCGTTCGGGGTTTACTCCCGTAGCTTTATACCTCCCAAGGTTAATCCGCAAGGCAGCGGGGCAGTGGTTGGTAGGTGCCAGGAGGTGTCCACATGCCAGTGGTCCTATGCGCCGTCCCTCTGGGGCCCACTGCTGCTCCGATATCCCCTGCTGGTCTAGCCTGGGCCCACGAGGCACCCAGTTACCGTGTGTTGCTACGAAGAGGCACAGCAGGAGTCTTGATGGTGAACAGGTTGTGTATTGGCAGGGGAAGACTTATGCAAGTTGCTTTCCTGTTCGCCACGAGGGCTAGCCAGAGGCGGTAGCTGAAAGCGAGAGGAAGCAAACAGCGCTTGCATCTTAACACTAACATAATGCTGCCACACTAGATCCATTAAACCACCCTGTGCACACACACACACACACACACACACACACACACACACACACACACACATTACTACACCACATCAGGCCCCTCATAACACCATCTGTGAGGGAATTACTACATCATCAGGCCCCTCGTAACACCATCTGTGAGGGAATTACTACACCACGTCAAGCCCCTCATAACACCACCTGTGAGGGAATTATTACACCACATCAGGGCCCTCATACACCATCTATGAGGGAATTACTACACCACATCAGGCCCCTCATAACACCATCTGTGAGGGAATTACTACATCATCAGGCCCCTCGTAACACCATCTGTGAGGGAATTACTACACCATGTCAAGCCCCTCATAACACCACCTGTGAGGGAACTAGTACTCCACGTGATGCCCCTCATAACGCCATCTGTGAAGGAGTTACTACACTACGTGTCTGCTGTTCAACACCTCAGCTCACATGATCTACTTGTGTAAACATTAATCTGTATGTTCACTGTATGTTCCTTCACCTTTCTCTAATGAAGGCTTTTGTTAAACCACCAATGTATGTAATAAGTCGTTTATGTCCAATGTATATTTTCAGCCTTCGGGCTGCAAACTTTTTCAATAAACCGATTATTATTATTATTATTATTATTACACACGTACCCAAGTTAACCTTCACACAGTGAGGTCCCAGGTACCCAGTGATAACTGCCCTTGAGACCCAACAACAACCAGCGATGTGTTAATCCGCCTACGATAGGAAGGTCTGGGACCACACCTCACTCATATAACACCATCTGTGAAGGAATTACTACACCACGTCAGGCTCCCCCGTAACACCATCTGTGAGGGAATTACTACACCACGTCATGCCCCTCATAACACCATCTGTGAGGGAACTACTACACCATGTGAGGTCCCTCCTATCACCATCTGGGAGGGAGTTACTACACTACGTGTTTGCTGCGCAACACCTACATTAATCTGTATGCTCACTGTACAGTATGTTCCTTCACCTTTCCCTAATGAAGGCTTTTGTTAAACCACCAATGTATGTAATAAATCATTTATGTCCAATGTATATTATCAGCCTTCGGGCTGCATAACTTTTTCAATAAAGCGTTAATTATTATTATTAAATTATTATTATTATTATTATTATTATTATTATTATTATTATTATTATTATTATTATTATTATTATTATTATTATTATTATTATTATTATTATTATTATTATTATTATTATTTACACAGTAGATCACGAAAGAGTCACCTACCCGTCGATTTGTTGTCTACCTCTTCCACAGAACCCTTGTAGGAACACTTACACCCACTTTTTTTGCTGGCTGTAGGTAACAAGTGCTGACTGGTGGAGAGTATTTGGCTAGAACTGTTGAATTGATCCTGAAATTCTATTTTAAACCCAAGCTCATAACCATTGGCTTGGTAGATAATGGTTAGTGCATTACTGAGAACTGCCTGAACTATCTGATGTTGTTACTATTATTCAAAACCCAGAATTTATCAGTGCTTGATGATGGCTATCGCCACCATCAAGATCCCTAGGTATTATCGTTATCAGTGTTGAACATAACCATGAACTTCTAGTTCACAACAACAATGACTCTCCTCCACACTCTCATTACCAAACGCCCCATCATTGTATATACAAGCAGTACATTTAGTATTGCCCTGGTCATTTAAAAGAAATTTAATTTCCACTTACTAATTTAAGAAAGGTTTCATGGATTGAATTGTAATTTGGTAAGCGACTTCATATCCAGATAAACTAACAAATACAGCACTCTATTTACTACAGTACAATGATAGTCTCTGATTCCCTGATAAATGTAGCTGGAGGAATATTGTCCCTTACTTAATTGTTTAGACTAATGAAGCCCAAATATTACATCATCACCATCTTCATCACACTTTTACAGCCACATTTGACTATGATTTGTGCCACTATCACTATCTGACATCACTACTTGATTAAGGTGCGTAGCACCATCAACATCCTCACTTATTTTTTACAGCACTATTTGACTATGGTTGGTGCCACCATCACCATCCCCTTTATCCTGACACCCCTCATGTGCATTGATGATAGTGATCCAGCCCGAGGCCATATAGTGTCTACCATCATCTTCGTCTCTGGCATTGTCACTCTTCTGCAGAGCACCTTTGGTATCAGGTGAGGCCCCTCTAATCCCTCGGATTTTAGTAAGTAACTACTGTTCCTCCATAATAATGATATAAAAATCCAGTGTATAAATAATCAACACTGCAAATATGTGTGGATAGTTGCAGCCAACAGCTCCTAGCCCTTGTCCAGAAGCGTCGGTGAACAGGGTGAAAGGTTGAGTATAATCAGGGAATGCCAATACTGGTGCATTGGTCAATGTTTCCTTTAATGCATTAAAGCGGTTTTGCTATTCATTGTTCCAAACAAATGTTGCATCTTTTTTTAGTAATTTTGTCAGCGGGGCGGCTAACTTAGCATACCCATGAATGAATGAGCGATAGTAGCCGGAAAGTTCGAGGAAACTACGCACTTTTTCTACATTTGTAGGACAGGGAAATCGGTCAACTGCTTTAACCTTGCAGTCCATAGTATGAATGCCGTTTCCATCAACTACGTGTACAAGGAATTGAACTTTAGATTTGATAAATTCACATTTAGAGAGCTGAATTTTCAAACCTGCCTCATGAAGTTTTTTAAACACTTCACGTAATTTGACAAGATGACTGTTTACATCTTTGCTTACAATGATCAGATCATCTACATAGGCATAGACTGTATTGCCATTTTGTAGTCCGAATGGTATTCTTAAAAATTCAAAATGTCCCAAGGGAGTGCTGAATGCAGTCACCTAGCGGGATTTCTCGTTAAGAGTAATTTGCCAATACCCGCTAAGAAGATCGAAGTTACTAAAAACTGCGTTGTCTTTTCCCAAGGATTGCAACAAATCACTCAGAACAGGCATCGGGTACCTATCCGGTATGGTTGCTTCATTGACTTATCGAAAGTCAATAATAGGTCGCCATCCTCCATCTTTCTTCGGAACTAGAAAAAGAGGAGAATTCCAAGGGGAAGACGAATGTGTGATTACTTTCTGTTCCATCATATCTTTAACCATGTCCTCAACTATGAGCCGTTGGCTATGAGGTAATCTATAAGCTGGTATATAGACAGGGTTAGTGTCTGGTTTTAATGATATGTGGTGTGAGGTTAATTTTGTTTGACCTAGCGGTTCCTCAGATAATGCTACTATGTCACGATAGTCAGCTAGTAACTCTAGGAGATCAGTTTTGCCTTGGAGATGGTCAATTACCTTGACCTGTGGAGTTATTTGCTCCAACTTCTCCTGCCTAGTTTGTTCTTGCATTGGTGCAACGCTACCAATTGGCAACTGAGTAGGCTGTGCAACAACATTAGTATGGTACACCAGGAAATTACAAAGACAACATCCCTTTTTCAAGATTTTGGGGTCGCCAGTTCTATTAAGAACAAGAATATCTGTTAAACCACTTGGTCTAATTGTGCTCAAGGTAGACTCAAATGATAGACCTTTAATCTTGGCACTTTCGCTAAGACAGACTACGTCAGTACCAGTGTTGACATCTGGCAACCGGACAGTAGCTCTGGTTATTTCCTCATTCTGAAAATGTTGAGTACCTGTTAGGACTGCAGGTACTATGATCCAATCTTTAGCAAGCTTGGGCTGGTGGACAACCTTCCTCGTATCTGTTGAGTTAGTTATCACTTTCACATTTGTGCTGAGCATTGGATGTGAATTTTTCATCGCATGGTGTGTAGTGCTATTAAATGTTATAGTATGTCGACTAGGTTGGACTTCTATATTATTTTGTTTTAGTGTTTGAAGACCTCATAATCCATCAGCTGGTAGAGAAAAATCTTTTACTATATAAAACTCAGCTAGAAAGATTTCACTGGAATCACAAAAACCTATAGGTAATGTAATGACTCCCATAATAACTAAATGTTGGCCTGATACTCCGGAGAGATCAACATCAGTAGGTCTTATTTGCCATTTATTGTCAGGAGAACGTCGATTCAATTCAGTAAATGACGTTAACGATATATATATATTTTTTTACGGGTATTAGCCCACCCGGGCACAGGTCATTGACCCACATCGGGGCCTAAGGGGCGAAAAGTTAATAATAATAATAATAATAATAATAATAATAATAATAATAATAATAATAATAATAATAATAATAATAATAATAATAATAATAATAATAATAATAATAATAATAATAATAATGATAATGATGATGATGATGATGATGATGATGATGATGATGATGATGATGATGATGATGTCTGTCTGTGTGTTTATTCTGGGCAGCCGAAACGGCACAATCGTTTTTCATGAAACTTGGTGGAAAAATCGCAAAAAATTCGTAGAGTGGAACAAACCTGGTCCCATGTCAATGGTTTCTTTAGGAAGGCATTAATTAACAATTTTATTTGCGATGGAAAATGATGCAAGTCTTCGGACTTGGCTCACCCTAATTAACCATGCAAGTCTACGGACTTGGGGCACCCTCATTCGCTGTATGCTGTCATGAGCGTTCAACCTTTCACAAGGGCACGAAGGGCCCGAGATCACTTATTCCTACTAACAAGCTCCTGCATCTATGTCTAAGGAGAGCTTGGTGCTACCTACACTCACTGGTATTGTCAATACTTCCGCTTTACTTAGTGCAGCGATCAATGAAGCTGTCATAGAAGCATTGCTAGTTATATGTGATCTTATCCCTGGTCGTGTTTGACATGGCGCAAATCTTCCCCCGACGGATTTTGAATTTTGCGCCGTGGATTACGCTCTTGATAATCCTGCCTGCATTGACGCAGACTTGCACAATCCTCTGAAATGTGTGATCTAGATTGATGTAGTACACACCGCTGGTGTGTACTACACTGGATTTTGATTTTGATTTTTGAAGTTGCTTTTCTTGGCTTTGTTAAGCTGATAAGTATTACCGTCTTGTTTTGCATAGTAAAAGTCTTCAGTCGTATGATTCTGTTTCTTGCAAATTTTACAAACAGTTTTTTTGTTTAGGCTTGGTACCTGTTTATTTCTGAACCTAAATTGGTGCTGTGCCACAGGTGCAATGGTTCTAGCCAAATGTGTGCACGGGGCTCTCTGTACTATCTTTTTTGCATAATCTGTGAGTTCGTCTGACTGGGGTAACTTTCCTTTTGAGCTTGCTTAAACTCTACGTCTTAAAGAAGAAATATAATTTGGATATACTCGACGAGACGAAAGACTTGCTCCTCACTCATTTTATGGTCCTTGTCAAACCATAAAATGTGTGCTTTCACGTCGTTATAAGCCTCCCCCGCTATAGACTGTGCCATAAAGATATCCTGTGTTCTGACCCGCGGTGCGGTTCTGTTTACCATCCTAAAAACCCATGTGAGATGACCGTCAACTCCTCCCTGATCAAAGAAGCGTACCAACTTTCTTTTGAAATCATCATATTTTGATCGAGTAAAAGCCATAGCATTCATTAGGTGACTTGCGCGACACCCCGGTTTAATGTGACCACGGACGAATGCTTTTCGATCCTCGTCATCTTGGACATTATTATGTCTCATCACATCCTCACATGCTCGGAAAAATGCTAATATATTATAGTTAGGATCTTCCCCTGTGAAGTCTTGGATTCGATCATGCTGTGGTAGTATTTTCCACACATTAGTTGCTTGTATCACTGGGTTAGTAATGTTTGCTAGTTAATTGAAATGCTGGTAAATTACTAGTGCATGCATTAGAAGATGCCAATACACTATACTCAGGTCTAGTGTCAGAGGTGTAGTGTCGTAAGAACGTTCTGACCTAAGTTGTGTAAATAATAATTCGTTATTTGTTTTATCTATGACTGTTTCACTAACTTCAATTGAAGTGTTTACTGTTAGTTCAGGTTCAGTGACTTGTAATTCATGTGCACCTTCGAGTTCACATGTGTCATTGTTAACTGTGTCATGAGGTACAGTGTCACTTGAATCACTATCTAAGTTTTCATCAGGGTTTACAACTTGTTGATCGTTTAAAACATATAAATGATCCATAAATGTTTCTTAGAGTTAGATATTTAATAACTTTGCCAATCCATCCACAATAAGGTAATGTGACTTTTAATTTTAGTGATAATTAATTGTTTAAGTTATTTTTCCATTAATTGTTGCAAGGCACTTGATAATTAATTAATAATCTATCACGATCCCTACCTTGTGAAGATATGTTTTAAATTACATATAAAATGTGTATATATAACTAATGATTGTTTGTGAAATACCTAATACTGTAGAGTTGATTGTAGTTTCTCGGAGAAGTCCTCTTGCTTATATCTCATCAGCTGGGTTGATTGGATGACGTGGTATTCCGGATGGCGTCGGTCTAGATGACATCACGGGTTGGGACTCCCATACCACACACATCTGCTCTGGTACAGAGGTCGTTGAGGTTGAGGAGATTGAGGTCTATGAGGTTGAGGTCTATGAGGTAGAGGTCGATAGGTCGTTGAGGTTGATAGGTGATACTGTGGGGTTTTGTGATGTTGGTTCACACTCAGGATGGGTTGGAGAAAGGAAACTCACAATGCGCTCTCTGTATACATATTGTATTGGATGTACAGGGCAGCTTGGTGCTGGGAAGTGGCAGCGTGGTTACAAGCGTGGAGTAGAGAGCTTGTTGGTGAGGGTGCTCAGAGGAGGTGTTGAATGCAGCATGGCTGTAGGTAGAAGAAGGGCAGGTCACGGCAAGGTGAGGTCTTATATAGCGGAGGTAGGCGTGGCTTGATAGTTGACCTCCGCTTTGATAGACGGCGCTGGATGCTGACCTTAGACCACGAGACGTAGGCTGGGGAATTCGAAGATGGGTCGGCTAGTCAGCGATAAACGGCAGTTGTAGTTGTAGGGGAGATATCTGTAGCTTATATATCTAAGCTACTGTGCCGAGTAGCAACCTTGTATATAAGCTACTGTGCCGAGTAGCATCTATGTATGTAATTACGTGGCTTCACTGCACGTGTTATGTGGGAACATTTCCCCGAGGCTGCCATATGGCAATGCAGCCTCAGTCTGACTCCGTAGGTCATGCATGGCACACGCTAGTCACTACTTGTATTTCTCCTATCCGTTAATAAATCGACTTC